AAGCAATGTGCTGGTAAGATTGTTTTGACAATTAAAATGCACTGGAATCAGTAATTAGATTAATAATTAAGGTTTAACTTTTTTCCTTACTTCTGAATAGCATAATGATTGCGTAGCTGACCTCAGTGATTTTACCTTTCAAGGATATTTTCTTTTAGTTCTCTTGTTCATAATCATAGATGCTGTCGCAATCCAAACTGTCGCTATGGAACTGACACAAGCAAATGTCTCTCATAATAAGGGGAATGAAGCACATCATTAGGATGAATAGGGAAATAATTAAAGCACATGAAGATAATTATACTAAAGCTGAGACAGAATGGGGCAGCTTCACATTAGCTGCCTAGTGATGGAGTCTCTGGAGGCTTGACATGCAGTGCTCTTTGTTGGGATGTGCAGCTATGCTCTATTCTGATGTATTGACATCTGGAATAATCTGGTAAAGTCAGATTATGTCAATAGATATAATCTAGCATAATATCGTATTTATTGCTCAATGTGTGTTTAGTAGGAGTTGACGTGATGTGGGTCTTGTTGATAAAATTATTGAGAGAAAATTTGCACAGTTTACACAATACAGCTGCTGAATGTGACTTTTTTTTTAATGTGACCTACCATAAAAATGGAATAAAGAAACTTAAATAGGCAGATATTAGCAGATTAAAATTATTTTAATGATTATCATGTCATGTGACCCCATATTATTTCTAGATAGCCTAATTGTAGTAAAAACAACAACAACAAATAAATGAAATTAATGACTAATGGACTGGAAGATTGTTTTTCTGTGACACATGTTTGTGACAATTTCCATTTAACTATTTATAAAGGAAAGTTTCTTAAAGTTTCTCACAGTTAATTATTGTGGGACACGAAATTTCAGCACCTGTTTTAAAAGTAATTAAAATGAATTAAAAAATAATTATATCTGGTGTTACTTGTAGCATGTATCTGGACTTTTCAAATGAGTGTTTATCTAGTTAGTTTAGTGTAGTTTTCCTCCTACTAGGGATGGGTATCGTTAAGGTTTTAACGGTATTACTACTCTTACCGATACTGCTTATCGATTCGGTACTTTAACGGTATTCTTATTGGTACTTTTTGTTTTATATATATATATATTATATACATGCATACATACAGTGTATATATATATCAGAGCATGTGAGCGGAGCGGAGCGTGAGCGGAGCAGGGAGCGGAGTGGTAATATTTCCTTAAGAGCGCAGAGCGCCTTTCTGAAGATTCCGCTCCGCTCGCTCAATACGCTCAGTGCCGCTCGCTCAACCCAGAATGCAAATGCGACTGAAATGGTCGCACTGTAGAGCCCTGTCAAGGTGTTAACCATTTTTCTGGGATCCTGAGTAGCTGGGTGAGTCTAGATCATGGAAAGCAGCTATCTTTCACAGTGCCATAATCGTGGTCATGATGCAAATTACCTCAGGACATGAAACCTTCTTTGTTTGCTTTCAAAGGTGCTTTTAAAAGGTGAAGAATGCAGTTTCTGCTCTGTAGTGTGACCTAGTGGAATTATAAAAAAAGCATATTTCCTAAACGGCCTTTACACTTATCACGCCCTTTCATGCATTGTGATTATTCTTATCCTTACAATATCATGCTATTTTATCTGGGGCTTGACAGTTAAAAGACAACATGTTTGGCAAAAACCTGAGATTGTAAATCTTTTCCTCACAGCCTTGTTTTCGTCTGTGTTTAATTCAATATGGCAGTTCCAAATTCCTCCATCTTGTTTAAAACACCATTGTCTGAGTATTTTGGCAAGTCTTTTGGCTTGCATTTCTCTAACCGAATGTGAACTTTTTTCCCCACTAAATGCATCAGCCGTGGTCCCACACTGGCTAAACACCCTCTGGCTCAGCCTGCTACAATAGCTATTCCCCAAACTATAACTATTAGTTAAGCTGAAAAGAGATTGATGGATCTGAACAGACAGCTCAAAATGTTGTGTTAGTGCCTGGGAGGCTCAATGTTTACATTTTAGAGGAGATACAACCTTGAATGGCATATTTAGTCAATGAACAATAAACTGGGTTAAGAAAATGCATTTTGGCATAAACAAATCTTACAAACTTCAACTTTAAAGGAAAATGTCACCCAAAATGGAAAATTACCTGATTATTTACTCACCCCCAGGCCTTACAAGATATATATGACTTACTTTCTTCAGCTGAGGAGAAAAAGGTTTTGGAGAAAAACATTCCAGGATTTTGCAATCTATTTGCAATCTATTTTGGATCTAATGCAAATGAATGAGGCTTAACGTAGACCATTTTTGATGGCCCAAAATTCACATTTAGGCAGCTTCAAAGTAATCCATACAACCCCAGCTGAAAAATAAGAAAAAAAAAAAAAAAACTAAATTAAAGGTACTCTACTGCTACAAATGCTCGCTGTGGTCTAGTTTGGTTAAGTTCGTGACCTCTTCTGCGACGTTTGCGTGTT